CCAAGCCCTCCACCCTTAAAGAAAAGCAAGAGCCCATGGGAAAGGCAACAAGAAAGGGCCGCTGGTAAGACCCAGAAGCCTTGGCAGGAGGTACAGGCTCAAACCTCCGTCCCCAACCCGAACGGGGCATCCCCCGAGTCTCCGCCGCAACTGAACCCCGCCCCGACCCCGAAACCCGCAGACGGTCCGGAGCCGGGAACATGGAGAGAAAGGGGCGAGCAGCACCTAACCAAACGGGGCGGCCACGGGGCATTCGAGTGGGAAACCAACCTAGCATGTTGCAGCAACCTAACCTAGCTTGCAACACGGATGCCGCCTGTACTCTGAACAGTAATAACATCAGGAGAGTACTGGAGAACAAGCAGAGAATCACTCGCAAGACTCCGGGTCAAGGTGTCAGTGACCCAACAGGCAGCATGACGGAGGTAAAAACGGCGACTGTCACCCGGAGACAAGGGAACAGCAACCAACGATCCCGTTCAAGACGGGTTGGAACCTGGAAGACACATTCAATGGTCCCCCGAGCCCAGACAGGGGTTTCCAGGGCCCGTAGGGTAACAACTACGGGAAGTCCCAGAGGGCCACCAAACACTACCAGTGGAACTATAGCCACACTAGGCAGACCCCCACCAGGAAAATGAAAATAAAAACAAAAGAAAAACCCCCCAAAAGTACACCATCTCCAGAGGCAACAGGAACCAGTCGCTGCTTAGGTGGAAGGTTGCGCAACATCTTGACGCCCTAACCAGCACAATACCAGTCCCTACCCAGGGCCAAACAAGGGCCCCAAGCCCAAGCTGGCCCCAAGGGCGAGGCAAATGCCGAGCAGCAAGAACCTGTACGGGAATGGTTCCCGAACGCCCAAGGAAAAATAACCCTGTCCCGCAGGGGCAGTACTCACAGGGCGCTTAGGGAAGGACGTCCTTAAGCATATGCAGCCCTGGTGCTGATGAGGAACACCTAACCACCACACAACACCACACATGGCAGTGAACGCCACACAAGGCAAACACCGCCTAGGAAACTGAGGCCAGAGAAGCGTCGATCCCGGTTGACATTAGCTTACGAACTGAAGCTTGGCAGCCGGCGCAGTAGGTCCGGGGCTCCCCCTCCCCCTCTCGGGGCGGGGAGGGCTGCGTGGACGATCGATGCGGCATGAAAGTGTGATGTTTGCTTGTTTGCTTGTTTCCTTGGGATTGTAGGGAGTTCCTACCTCTCTGTTCGGTTTTTTGTTTTAGTTTTTTACCATGTGGGGTTTGTTTTGTTATGCCTACCTTTCTGGGTGCCTGACCCCAGTTGATGGCAGATAAGGAAAACCCCAAGCACAAGGGGGTTTTCCAGGGCCATTGCTCCCTGAAACCTCTCTGAAGGGGCCAGGTTCTGGCGCTGGTCCCTGGTAGGTCTGAACTCCTTAGCAAATGTCTCAGTCTAATATAACATACATTAGCCCGATAAACTCCAGGGAGCCGTAGGGGCTCCCCACAGAAAAAAAATTATAAAAAATTATTTCGTCTTCTAAAAATGTTAATTTGTGTTCCCTGAGAATGGGAAAAATAAAAAAAAGTCGTAGGTGACATATTTTGGGCGCAATAGACCAAGGAACTCTGGCAAAAAGTGGGCATTGACAGAGCGGTCGTCACCCTAGCTGACAGGTGAGAGTTGCCACAAAGATATTATCACCAAATTACTTAAATGTCTCTGATTTATTTTTTCTTAGTTTTCTTGCAGTAATATTATTCAATAGTGTGTAGTGTGATATATTTATATAATAAAAGAGCTGAATCATCGCTATACTCAAAAGTATGGTGTGCATATTAGTGATTCAATTATTATGTTCATAAAACAATAAACAAATAGTTTTGCTGTAATTACATTCTATACACAGGTTATATATAAGTATCTGGATGTTTTGTTCACCATAACGAACCACTAAGTAGGTATTATGAGTCGAAAAGCAACGAGGAGTGACCGCCACACACCAGCCAGCCACTCGTTGCCACTCAATCCCTCAACAACGCCTCACTCGCCCACTGTCTCCTCCCACCATCCTGTTTTATACTTTATTCACAATATACAGACGTTATATATAAGTATCTACATGTTTTGTTCAACACAACTGTACAACTAAGCTGATGTAATTAGTTCAGGCACTAAGAGTCTATACACACAGTCAGCTGGCAGCTCCCTCACTCATTCAAGGTCACACGCACTAAACTTTCTCCCCCAACAATACTGTTTGCAGTGTTATTATACTATATACACATATTATAAATAAGTATCTACATATTGTATTCACTGTAACTGTACACCTAAGCTTGTAGAGTGCCCAAAGAGCAAAGTGGCTACCCTCTACACAGCCAGACAAATCATGCAGACAACGTCACCTCCATCACCCAAATGGTTCCTCCCAACATAATCCTTTTGCTGTTATTACGCTAATACACACATTATATATTAGTATTTACATTTGTGTTCACCATAGAGAACCACTGAGCTGGTATGGTGAATGCAGACAATAACAGGTGACCACACAGTCAGTAAACGATGCAATCTCCCTCCATCCCTCAGCATCACTCCTCCCACAGCGCTAATTATTACAACAATCCTGCTATTATCACAATCCTGGTCATTTTTATCACAGTCAGGGGTCCTCTGTAATATTGTCATCGCTAAATACTAGCAGTTATATATATTTATTTTGACATTTTTCGGCGATGCTGTGGTCACAAGCTGAACAGCAATGCTGTTTGCTCATGTTGTGCGTGCCAGCCTTGGTTGCTCCAACAGTACTGTGCCTCTTACACCGGAAAATATTGCTCACAATTTTTTTTTTAAATGGCGTCTGTTTACAAGAGCCCTGAGGAAGCTAATGTGAACCCCGTGTAGCTGCGGGCCATTTGAATCGTGCCTGGCACCCTATGGCGTATATATATGCCATTCACACCGTGGGTCATGTTACTCATGGCGTATATATACGCCATGCACAGTTTAAGGGTTAAAATGTTGCTAAACTAAATATATAACCCAAAAATATATAATTTGATGTAAATCCAATATTTGAGAGAAATTTATGTTACTGGAAATGAACACAATACCATGCTTGTTTTGTTTGATTTCGTCGCCACAGTTCAGTGACCTACGGCTTCGAAATAATAAAATTAATAAATCAGTTCTAAAATAAGTATTTTTTATAGCTCTTATTATCGTAATAATGTTGCTAAACTAAATATATAACCCAAAATTATATAATTTGATGTAAATCGAATATGCAAGAGAAATTTATGTTACTGGATCTGACTTAAACACCAGCCTACTGTAGGGTGTACGTATAGACCTAGTCTGCGTTCGTACAGTATGCACCCAGTGCCCTTAGCTTTGTCTGTGATTGACATATAGTATTTAACCGCCGGTGGAAGAATAATTGTGGAATTTACCATTTTTTTACTACAGCTGTATTGTTATACAACAAAATGTCTCAGGGGCTTACTAATAGTGCCTTATTAATGCCAAAAATGAAGCAATATTTTGCAAGAACTTGTAGCAGAAAATAAACCAGCACGAGCACAGCCATACCCAGCACAAAAACAGTCGTGCCCAGCACGAGAACAGCCGTACCCAGCACGAGCACAGCCATACCCAGCACTGGTACAACAGCAGCCAGCACCAGCTCAGAAGCAGCTGAAGGCAACACAGCAGCAGCAGCAAGCACCAGAAAAGCTGATGCAAACATCTAAAAACATCGTGTGTGGATAAACTGTTAGAACAAGTGTTAAATTTAAGTGTGTACATAGTGTTAAAACTAAAGTTGCAGTAATTTTAGTGTACAATAGTTTTCATAAACTGTATTGTAGTACTCAACATACAGCAGAACTACTTAATCAACACAGTGTTAATGGTATAATACACTACAGTACGTATTTACTGTACAACATTCACAACTCCACGAGACTTCAAGATGGACATAACTCCAACAATATGGTAAATAACAAATGTAACAATATTTTTTTTAGTAGGGTGTGACAATAATCTCCTTCAAGAGATTGAGCCTGCTCTTCCTTCCAAAATTCGTCGCTATAAATCTATATACAACTAATATGGAAGAAATATCCAACAAATACACCACCAAGGTTTGCCAGAGAGCAAAACGTATGCAGCCAGGAACACCTGCTCCACCTCGAACCACCAAACTACCTGTCTGTCGCCTGCTCATCGCTGATTGGCTGCGGGTCCAGTTACACCTGCCCTCCACCCGCCACACTACCTGATGTCTGGGTCCACCACGACCTCAGCCCTCAGAATATCCAGTGCTTTCAACAAGTTAACACGTCTCGTTGGTAGACTAAGCTGTGGCTTACGTGTACTAAGAGAGGTGGCAGCTTACAGCCAATATTCCGGCATCCATATTTACATTGTTTGTTATACACTTGTTATTACTCACTTGTCTTAACGTAACTTTTCATTTTGTCATTTGATTATTCTTCTTATTTTGATTGATTGATTTTATGTTCCAATTTGTATGTCCATTTTATTCATGTTTGCTTTTCTAACGTAATTAAAATCTCATTGTTAAATTTACTTGTGTTTTGTGTGTCTTCCCATTACCTTACCACAGACGAAGTTCCAGATTTTCTATTTTTTGTTTCTATATGTTACGAGGCCATACCCCTAGCTTTTGAACAGCCGAACACCAACGCGTTACCGTCACAAGGGTAATAATATATAGATACAGTATATAATATGATAATGCATTTTTATTGTGTACAAATAAAAAAAGACACTGACGCAAACGCCTCCTGAAGGTCACCTCTTGCAACGCATCCAACGCTCCAACGCACTGGGGTTGGTCCGAAATAGTGCATTGAATCGAGGTTGTACTGTACTTATCTTCCCTCCTTGAAGGCATTAACACATTGTGAAGATGTGTAGGAAATTAATCGAAAGAACTGAATAATAACACAATAATAGCTACTTAATATACTTGACTACTAAATGGCACTCACTTGAATGGCTCTGGCATGTTCTTCTTATCTTCTTCTAAGAGTGGTAATCGTTTATAGAATAACTCCCAATCAAATGCACCACGTGCTCCTTCATCTTGGGCTCGATATGCAAATGTCTCGAAGTCAATTACGTCAATAAATGGGCAAACACAAGTCCGATAGTCCTTTGCAATAGGATCTGTTGATAGTATATGATATTATTGCATTTATAATATAGGCATACTGAACTTGCACTATATTTAGCAGAAATAGAAAACTTGAAAACAGAAAACTTGCACTGTATTTAGCAATGCAAAAGCATTGAAATCTAGGAATGGCACCATATAAACAATAAACACATGGTTTCACATACAAGAGTACAGATTAAGCCAAAGAATGCAGAATGTGTTGCATATCCAAAGAAAGTATGCCTTGCTCAGGTCCCACTCCTTCTACTGGATGAAACAGAGAGCATCAGTGAAAAAATTGAACATCTGAAAATTGTTGACTGCTTCAAGGACTAAAACCCAGAAAGTCAGAAGAGCATCTATGCCAAGAGAGACCTAGAAGAGCCTCTTCAGAGAGGACAAATTTGTGTGTCCCTAGCTAGTGGATTATTTTTACCTGGTTGATACCTGGTTGATGGGGTTCTGGGAGTTCTTCTACTCCCCAAGCCCGGCCCGAGGCCAGGAACGACTTGTGAGAGTTTGGTCCACCAGGCTGTTGCTTGGAGCGGCCCGCAGGGCCACGTACCCACCACAGCCCGGCTGATCCGGAACTTCTCTTAGAAAACCGTCCAGTTTTCTCTTGAAGATGTCCACGGTTGTTCCGGCAATATTTCTTATGCTCGCTGGGAGGACGTTGAACAACCGCGGACCCCTGATGTTTATACAGTGCTCTCTGATTGTGCCTATGGCACCTCTGCTCTTCACTGGTTCAATCTTGCATTTTCTTCCATATCGTTCACTCCAGTACGTTGTTATTTTACTGTGTAGATTTGGGACCTGACCCTCCAGTATTTTCCATGTGTATATTATTTGGTATCTCTCTCGTCTCCTTTCTAGAGAGTACATTTGGAGAGCTTTGAGACGATCCCAATAATTTAGGTGTTTTATCTCGTCTATGCGTGCCGTATATGTTCTCTGTATTCCCTCTATTTCAGCAATCTCTCCTGCTCTGAAGGGGGAAGTGAGTACTGAGCAGTACTCGAGACGGGACAGCACAAGTGACTTGAAGAGTACAACCATTGTGATGGGATCCCTGGATTTGAAAGTTCTCGTAATCCATCCGATCATTTTTCTGGCTGACGCGATATTTGCTTGGTTATGCTCCCTAAACGTTAGATCGTCGGACATCATTATTCCCAAATCCTTGACATGCTGTTTTTCTACTATGGGAAGATTCGATTGTGTTTTGTACCCTGTATTATGTTTCAGATCCTCATTTTTGCCGTACCTGAGTACCTGAAATTTATCACTGTTAAACATCATGTTATTTTCTGCTGCCCAATCAAAAACTTTGTTGACATCTGCTTGTAGTTTTTCAATGTCTTCAGCAGAGGTAATTTTCATGCTGATTTTTGTGTCATCTGCAAAGGACGACACGAAGCTGTGGCGTGTATTTTTGTCTATATCAGATATGAGAATAAGGAACAGTAGCGGTGCAAGGACTGTACCTTGAGGTACAGAGCTTTTAACATCGCTTGGACTCGATTTTATCTGATTGACTGTTACTCTTTGTGTTCTGTTCGACAGGAAATTGAGTATCCAGCGTCCTACTTTTCCAGTTATTCCCATTGACCTCATTTTGTGAGCTATCACCCCATGGTCACATTTGTCGAACGCCTTTGCAAAGTCTGTGTATACAACATCTGCATTTTGCTTTTCTTCTAGGGCTTCTGTGATTTTGTCATAGTGGTTGAGTAACTGTGACAGACAGGATCTTCCCGCTCTAAATCCATGTTGTCCTGGATTGTGCAATTCATTGTTTTCCATAAAACTAGAAATTTGATTCCTAATCACTCTTTCAAACACTTTTATTATGTTTGATGTTAGTGCAACTGGCCTATAATTTTTTGCCAAGGCTTTACTCCCCCCCTTGTGCAACGGAGCTATATCTGCAGATTTAAGTGCTGCTGGTATCTCCCCTGTATCCAGGCTCTTTCTCCATATTACGCTGAGTGCTCTCGCTACTGGTACTTTACATTTCTTTATGAATATTGAATTCCATGAGTCAGGCCCAGGAGCTGAGTGCATAGGCATATTATCAATTTCTCTTTCAAAGTCTTCCGCGTTTGTGGTAATATCCGTTATATTATCTGCAGCTTGAATGTCATTCATAAAGAAGCTGTCTGGGTCATCAACTTTCATGTTGTTTATTGGTGTGCTAAACATAGCCTCATACTGGCTTCTTAGAATTTCACTAATCTCTTTGTTGTCCTCTGTGTACGTACCTTCATTTGTAATTAACGGTCCAATACTGGTCGAGGTTTTGGATTTTGATTTTGCGTATGTGAAAAAATATTTCGGATTTTTCCTTATCTCTTGTATAGCTTTCTGTTCCAATTCCATTTCCTCAGACTCATATGATCGCTTCAACGTTTGTTCTATTTCCTCAATCTCCCTGCTTAGGCTTGTTTTCCTTGCTTGTGATAGTTGTGTCTGCCGAAGCATTTCCGTTATTTTTTTCCTTCTCCTGTACAGTCGTCTCCGTTCTCTTTCTAGAGTGGTCCTCTTTCTGCCCCTCCTCACAGGCACGTGCTTCAAGCAGACCTTGTAAGCTTCAGCTGTCAGTTGAGCTATTCCCTGTGTGGGAGTTTTGTCGCTTAAGACCGTCTCCCATTGAATGGTTGCAAGGTCTACATTTATTTTTTCCCAGTCAATCCTCTTATTGTTGAAATTGAATTGATTGAATATTCCTTCTCGCTTGTTTGGTCTCTTAGACCTACTACCGTTATTTATGCTAGTTCGCACTTCAATGAGCTTATGGTCTGAGTATGAAGTATCTGAGATTGTGATATCCCTGATTAGTTCATCATTGTTTGTGAATAACAAGTCTAGTGTGTTTTCGTTCCTAGTTGGTTCTGTAATCTGTTGATTGAGCGAGAATTTGTCACAGAATCTCAAAAGTTCTCTAACCTGTGGTTGGTTATTTCCCGGGTCATTCCCTGCTATGATATTTGTGTTTGCCGTTCTCCATCTTAGACTCGGTAAATTGAAATCTCCAAGAAAGATAATATCTGGAGCTGGGTTTGCTAGGTTGTCAAGTATGTTCTCTATTTTGTGCATCTGCTCTTTTTGGCCTCGGCAATGGCATTTATGAATTTACCTTAAGCCCAGTACGATCTCTACATAATGTTTAGTCAGAGATTGACAAGACAGGCAGATTGAGCAAGTGAAATGCTTTTAATAATGTAAGAAGCCAGGATAGTTGCCAGGCAGGAGGATATATTTGTTGTATATTTTCCAAGAAAGCCAGAAAGTAGTGGAAAAAAGAAGAACTAGGCCTACAACAAGAAACTAACCATCAAGATGATGTTAGTGATGCTGAACCTCTTGTCTTTTGTAAGTGAACCCAAACAGAGAATTCTTACAGCTCTACATAATTATAATATGTAGAGCTGTAAGAATACAAACTTGTGGAAATGTGAAGCCACACTGAAACTATGTTCATCATTAATGGCAGCTATGTGAAGCTCATCTTACCTAACAAAGGAGGCAGCCAGTTGGTGGTACATTCAGTGTGAGAGTCCAGGAATATCAGGACGTCTCCTTTAGCTACTTTTGCACCTGCCAGACGAGCTCGAATGAGTCCAGACCTTTTTGCCAGATGAACAACCCTTACTTTGGGCAGATTTTCTCGTACATAGTTGTCGAGCTTGTCTTTAAGAAACCCTGTAAAACCAAGAGCATCGTGCATACAAAATTAATAATTAGTGAGGTATAAAAAAATTTAAAATAAATATATGAGAAAATTACATCAATATGCAGTAGTGTATATATAAATATAAAGATGGTAAATCTGCAAACTGTGAAATCTGCTTATTTTAACCTGAAATTGTCCATGCTAGATGCAAATATGTAAATACAATAGATATAATCAGTCCATAGTATGTAGCCTTATATGTTGAAGTTAACAGTATTTTGTCAATGATAATCTCAACAAAGAATAAAAAAAAAATTGTCAGCTTCTTTAGCCAGCCATTTTACAAAAATATCTCGTCACAACATTCAGTAAAACTAACACTTCAAAGAAATTGGTTTCATTCAAATGTGAGTTCAGCATACAGTACAGTGGCGCCTCCAAAATCTGGGTTTCCGAGAAAATCTGGATTTCAGAGTACTGTGGCACCTCGACTTACGACTGCGCCTACTTACAAATTTTCTGAATAATGACGTAAATTGTTGGAAAATGCGACCCAACTTACGATCTTTGCCTTGACTAGTGACTGTGTTGATACAGGTATGGGTCGACCGATCGCATGGTTCCTGGTGGCGCGGCCAACCCCACCTCAGTTTACCAGAGTCACTCATTTAGTGACGATCGTGCTTGTAAAGAATTTCATTATTTTTGTGCACTTTTGCTTTTTGAACATAAAAGTAATTATTATATATCACACCATGGGTCCCAAGAAAGTCAGTGTTAAGGTTCAACCTAAGAAAACACATATGAGGATGACCACAGAGGAAAAAGAAGAGATCAATTGTAAACATGAAAATGGTATGAATGTTGTTGATGTGGAATAGAGGATGTCCCTTCCTCATCTATTAAGAAAATGTGTGCACTATGGGAAGAATTCCAAAGATTTGCTGAAAAGTGTCACCAAATCAAGCTGTAGCAGGCTGTTGTGTTAACCTTTTTAATTACAATGTGATGTCTCACTTCAGGCAAGTGTTACAAAATAGGGGAAAAACAAGTGTTGCTAGACAGGTCTTTAGTGAGAAAATAAGCAATGAACCACAACCAGGTCCTAGCGGTATGCAGGCAAAACGTAGGAGAGAGAGAGTACCCCAAAAAAGTCATCACTGCCTGATGTTATAATGGAAGGGGGACTCCCCTTCCAAACACTAACATCTCTCCTCCTCACCGTCTTCCATATGTCAACAAGAGTCCTAATTCAAGGTAAGATATACAGTGCATTCTCACTCTAACGAACCCCGCTGTATCGAATTCCCGGACAATCCAAACAAATTAAATTCGGTACTAAATGTTCAGTGGAACATACAGATGTTCGATTAAGTGAGGATTGTTTGTTTAAGCGGTTACTGAGACTGAGTGTCAGAGGTGGCTGTCATCAACTATGATTCACCAAAGTGCAAACAATTATGTAGTGTTTTATTTTATTAAGGCATTGTTTCCAGGGAGAAATGGTTGAAGGATGATAAAATGGTGTCAAGGGAGGCAAGTGGTGTCATTGGTGAGGGTTGATGTCATTGGTGAGGGTTGATGTCAGGGGGGCAAGTGGTGTCATTGGTGAGGGTTGATGTCAGAGGGGCAAGTGGTGTCAGTAGTTGGGGTTTAGTGTCAGGGGGCAGGTGATGGAAGTTATTCTCATTGGAGGCAGGTGGAGTTAGTGTTGTCAGAAATGACTGGTGGTGTCATTGGTGGAATCTGTAGTCAAGGGAGGCAGATAGTGGAAATTGTTATCAGAAGAGGCAGACAGTGGAAGTTGTTGTCAGAAGAGGCAGATAGTGGAAGTTGTTGTCAGGGAAGGCAAGTGGTGTCAGTGATGCAAGTTGTTGTCAGGGGAGGCAAGTGGTGTCAGTGGTGGAAGTTGTTGTCAAGGGAGGCAGGTGGGTGTCAGTGGTGGTGAAATCTCAGCTACAGTAACTGGCAACACATGGCTGGCACCAGCTGCCGCCACCTCAATGTTTCACTCACTGTCTGCTTTTTTCAATAAATTTGCTGAGAAAATGTTACCATTTCAGTTGTTTGTAACACCATTTTATCGTACTCCATAGTCAAAATGAAGAATTTGTAATAAATGGGTGTGTCAGTGGTGAGGGGGATGTATTAGGGAGGCTGGGAAGTCAGCAGCCTCTATGGGAGTGTCGGGTGTGTTGAATAAGACACCTCCAAGTCCAGCTGACTGCTGCCCCACATGGCTCCCCGCTGCAGCCTCAGTACACCCCGTACTAAACTTGACAATATTTAACATTTCAGTTGCTTGTAAAATTGCTTTATTATATTATGTAGTCAAAATGAAGAATTCATAATGAATGGTGGTGTCAGTGGTGGAGGATGGTGTCAAGAGAAGTCTGGTGGTGGGGGGTGGTGTCAGTGGTGGGGAATAGTGTCAGTGGTGGGGGATGGTGTCAGTGGTGGTGTCAGTGGTAGGGGATGGTGTCAGTGGTGGTGTCAGTGGTAGGGAATGGTGTCTGTGGTAGGGGATGATGTTAGTGGTAGGGGATGGAGTCAGAGAAGTGTGGTGGTGTCAGTGGTGGGGGATGGTGTCAAGAGAAGTTTGGTGGTGGGGGATGGTGTCAGAGAAGTGACTGATGATGAAGAGCTGGCAGATTATTATCGACACCTAAAGAGCATGAAAGATATTACTGTATAATAAAGCAGCGCACAACGAAGAAACAAACTAAAATTCAAAAGTTTTTGGTACGGTTTCACAGCACGCCTACAGGACCAGTACCCAGCACTAGCAAAGACTAGCAAGTCCGGTGCAGTTTGTCCTAATGCAAATGTGTCCTGGAATATGTATTAAAAAAAAATTGAAGAGGGTTGTTGTGGCCGGATGGATGGAACGAATTCCGCACTGAAACAAATCGGCTTCACCCCCATATAGTTCGTTCAAGTGAGGACACACTGTACATACAGTACTGTATTGTAGCTAGTACAAAATGAGTGTTATTCAGTATAAAATGTATTTTTAAGTTAACACTTTCGCGCTCTCGGCGCTCAAAAAAAAAACAATACCCCAGATGCTTTCGGCACTTCGCGCGCCTACGCGGTAAGACCGAAAAAGTGTACACTCTTTTGACTGTCCTGACAATAATTGAAGGCGCACGTATTTAAATTTGGTATCACTGTGTTCGCAATGAAATTGTCTATAAGAACATACCTATAAAATGCCGCCCAAGCATAAGGAGTATCAACACCAAATAAAAAACTATGCAGATCACTCGCCGAGAGCGCCAAACAGCAACAAAATGTTTCCACTCTCTTAATGGTTGCGAAGCCTACAGTTGTCCTACATCGCTAATTTTGGTATCATTGGAATCGCAATAAAATTCTCTACACGGACATATGCATATGAATGTTTAATATAGGTAATTGCCCACCCGCAAGAGTGTGTGAAGTGGAGAGTAGTTAGCCGCGAGCGCACTGGCGAAAACACAGGGGGGAAATCATGCTTGTAAAGTTTATACGTTTCCTGACCCTACTTTTCTATGTACGTATTTCTTTTTTATACCAATGTGTTCGCAATAAAATTTTCTATAAGATGAACTGTATAACATTGGTACAAAGCATGTGTAAGAGAAGCGCCAAATATAGAACCACGTCGCTCAGTATGCGTTCGCGGCAGAAACGAACGCATTGTTTTCGTTCGTTTGATGTTTGTCATGTTTATACTTGTTGAAACATATTATAATTTGTATGACAGTGATCGCAGTAAAATTCCCTACACAGACATATACATAACACATACAAATATTTCCCACGTGTTGGATATATCAACGGCTAAAGGGAACCCACTGCCACACGCTCGCCACACCCCCAAACATACTTAGTGTATTTTTTTTTTACTCATAGAAGTTTATGTGATATAATATTCATTCTGGTACCAAAACATTCGCAAATAAATACTCTACAAAACAAAAGTATCCCCATCCATTTCGGTTAAAAAATGGAATTTAAAGAAATATTTTTTCGATTGACGAGAAAAGTAGGCAGTTATGCAGAATCGTAAGAAAAACCAGTGACGAGTTATCTCTAATATAAAGCGCGAAAGTGTTAATATTAAATTCATAAGTCGAGACCCCACAGTAAATGCCAATTTCCAAGTAAATGCAGATTTCAAGGCAAATGAGGATTTCTGAGCAAATGAGGATTTTTGAGTAAATGTGCATTTTCAGGTAGTCTGGCACTATATCATTATAGTAGCTTAAGGGAACCACAATGGGCTTCCCCTAGAAAAAACAGCATTAAATGCAATAAAACACCTCTTACTAGAAGAGCTCCAGTGGCTCCCTAAAGCTAGCTGAGCTTGCTTCCAACTACTGTACTGTACTGTACGAGGTCACATTAGCAGCAGACTTTTGCTTGGCCTACTGGGGACTAGACACAGAACCTGGCTCCCAAATAGAAATGTAGAGGGCGTGTGCAATTCCACCACTCCACTGGGAAAGCATCCATAAAGTCAACGAAGCATTACAAACCACTACTGGATTCAAAGAAAGCAAAGTCACAAAAACTGTCAAATGCACTTCCCAAATAATGTAAACAAATGATAAAATCAATCCCTCACCAGCTGACACGCAGATTGAATGGGGGCAAAAAGTAGCCAGTCTTCGAGGCAGGCCAACACACGAACCCCTAATAACTGTAGCCAGACCATAACAACCCACAATAACCTGGTGAAAGCACAGGGAAACAGATTCAGGCCAAAGGGAAGAGCCTGAAGCAGCATGCTTGATGCCCCACCACAAAGCCTAACCAATCTCTGAACCTTGTATGTATAGGAACGTGTTAATAAGTGTCCTTGAAGATCCAGAGAAATCCAAGACCCAGCCTCTAAGACCTGGCACACCTTTGCAAAAGTAATCATACAGAAGGTTGGACAGGGAATGAACTTGCTCAAGCCCAAGAGATAAGAGGATGAACTGGAGAGCCACAGAGTCTCATTTCGGAACTTGGAAGAAACAGGACATCCAATGAAGAGAAGCAGTCATTTTGACTATGCCATTAGCCAAACATTCCACAATGATCTGATGGAGAAGAAGGGAAGATACCTAATCTTAAAGCCCCCTGCCACTTAAAGCCACTGAGTGCATTAAAGCACCTGGCAACATAGCCAACTAGGTACAACTGAAGCACTCAAATGCCTACCACCATGTCAAGGCAGCTGTCGTATGGTGAATATTAGAGAAAAGTGTAATTGATATACAGTATACTGCATATAGTAAGGATATGTATTCATGAAGATCAAGCCACTCTCACTCGTGTACGCAAAGATAGCTCTTAATTTTTATTTTTGCATTATAAACTTTATATTTTTAATATTTTTAACATATTTCTTTATGTATTTATAAAATGTTACAAATAAATTATGCTAAAGAACCATGTAAACATAAATTAAAATACAAAGCACCATTAGACCTTTAAAATTTTGGGGTTAAAAATAAATTGTGTAATGTGCAAAGTCTTTTTTTTTTTTAATATTGAAATCAAGTTTTGCTTGGTACCACATTTATTGAAATATCTGAGAACAGAATGTATCTTTTCAGAGCATAATACCGAGAGAAAATGCAGTTAATATTAAATTACAGACCTTTTGTGCTAGCATCATCCACAAGAATGACCTCCAGAAGGAGGGAGTCTGGCGAGCGGTTGATAGCAGAAATAGCAGTTCGTAATAAGGTTGTCCAGTGTTCATTGTGAAAAGGCACCACTACTGATGCTGTTGGAAGAGTTTCTAAATATAGCTTTTCTTTGCACCTGAAAATTTTAAAATGCATATTAAGACATGTAAATAAAAAGCAGCACTCTTTATTCATAACCTTTTATAATAAAGAGGAAAACTAACATGACTTATATACAGCAGAGTAATGTATACAGTATATACTAGTACATAAACATACATAGTATAGCTTTTTGGGACAGCTCCCTTCAGTTGCTCCTCGAGCAACCTGCCTCGATAGCTCCAAACCTAAAGTACCCCAACAAGCTATTTGAGTCCCAAGTGCCCACTAGGGTCCAGGACCAGAATCAACCCCCCCCCCACAACTCCCATCCCTAAAAAGAGGTTATGCGATTCTACAGATACAAGATACTGTACTGGTATTTGAACTAATTTAGTTAAGGAATGAGTTTTGTTGCTTTGAGTTAACTTTTTCCAAAGCAGGAACAGTATATACTTTTGAAGGGTACAGTCATCAGATGGGGGACAAACTAGATACAGTACTGGCAACAGCTGAATAATCATTTATGTCTGTCATGCATGTTCACATGTTGGCTGTAACTTTGTCTATTTCTCTTTATTAATTTTCATATAAAAATAATGCAAATTACAAATCCTTAATGGCTTACAATTACCGGGTGACTTCACACATGTTTAGACCAGCATCATCTCTTTTTACCCCCACTACCCCACTCCCAGGCTTCAGGTTAGTGGAGGTGCACGTCCACACATGCTTGACCTGATAACTTGTGGAATTCCCTCTTAAAGACTTTCTTTTATTCTGGCAATGTTTATTTTATTTGTTGGTACTGTAGACACCCACTAATCCGGAATCCGCCTATAAAATGTGTGAACCATCGCTGTACTCAAAATTAGTGTTCATGTTAGTGATTCAATTACAGTATTATGTTCATAAAACAATAAACAAATAGTTTTGCTGTTATTACACTATATACACACGTTATATATACGTATCTGCATGTTTTGTTCACCAAACTGAACCACTAAGATGGTATTGCGAGTCAAAAAGCAACGAAGAGTGGCCTTCACTCACCAGCCAGCCAGCCAGCCACTCGCCACCACTTCCTTACTCACCTCCTCACTCGCCAACATACTCCTCCAACTATACTGTTTTTGCTTTTATTCACAATACACAGACGTTAAATATAAGTATCTACATGTTTGTTCACCATAACTGTACATCTAAGCTTGTATTGCGAGTTCAAGCAGTAAGAGACGTAGCTACACACACACAGTCAGCTGGCGGCTGCTGCCATCACTGGTTCAAGGCCAGACGCACTAATATTTCTCCTCCAACAATACTGTTTGTGGTGTAAATACACTACATATACACATTATATATAAGTATCTACATGTTTTATTCACCATACCTGTACAAATAAGCTGGTATGATGCCCAAAGATCATAGTGGCCACCAGTAAACAACATGACATGTCATGCAGAGGACGCACCTCTTTCACAAAAATGGCGGCTCCCAACATATTCCTATTGCTGTTATTACACTCTATACACACGTTATATATAAGTATCTACATTTGTGTTCACCATAGTGAACCACTAAGCTGGTATGGTAAGTCCAGTCAGTAAAAGGTGGCCACACACAGTCAGAAGACGACGCTACCACACCTCTCTCCCACAGCATTACTCCTCCCATCATGGAGCACAGCGCTAAATATCACTACAATCCTGCTATTATCAGTATCCTGGTAAGTTTTATCATAGTCAAGGGTCTTCTGTAATACTATCATCGCTAAATAATAGAAGTTACATATATATTTTGACATTTTTAGGCGATGCTGTGGTCACAAGCTGAACAGCTGTGCTGTGAGCTCATGCTGTGTGCGCCAGCCTTGGTGGCTCGCTCAGTACTGACTCTCTCACACCCAGGAATCTTGGCCACGATTTTTTTTTCTAGGTGGCGTCTGCCAACTATCGGTCATGGCTGCACTATAGCTGTCCCTATCCCATGCGGGGGGTTTAAAATAAAGCACTAGACACTAAAACAGCTATTAATGTATTGCACAGTTCCAGTTTTGTTACTCAAATCATCTATATATGTATTGTGCGGTCTAAGGGTTAATTGTGGCAACACAGTCATGTATATGCTTACTCCTTTCTCACTTCCTACAATCCTTTGTCCAGTCATCAGACACACTATCTTCTGATCACCATCTCCAGCTTCTGTACTGTCACTTGGCACATTCTCTTTGTATATAAGCCTCCCAATTTTGTATTAACACATCTAAGTAGCCCCACCAATTTTCATTCACTATATGGGTATCTCCACAGTATTTACAGCTTACAGAACATAACTTTCATAGCAGTGTAATTAATTTAATACAGAATACTGTACTGGTAATGATTATTCTTTTGTCAACTACTAGTGTGATTAAAGAAAAATTTGAACTGAGAGAGATTTGACAAGGTTATATTAACACAGAATAAACAATAAAATAATACATGGGATCCCTTACTTTGGATGGCGTATGTCTTGTAAGGAGCGGTTCAGAGCAATATCATCCGACGCCCGAGCATTGAATCCATTAACTTTATACAGCTGGTCCCTCTCTTGCTGATATTTGTGTGGTAGATTATAAGCCTGGCCCTGCTCTCCAGGACCCACCTGAGCACTCTCTGCTAACAGCCGAGCATGATCATGCCAGTCCTTGTATCCTTTTGGTACTGTAAGTTCATCTGTGTCGTGAAAGAGAAACCATTAACTCTAAAGCTTCACATGTCCATTGGTAAAGCATTCACTGAAAAAATGAAATGGATAGAATACATCTGACAATCCTCCATTATGGAACAAAACTAAGCAGATGATATAAACTATTTTGAGGATTAGCAAGTTAAAGATTGTAGAAATGAAGAATAAGGATGAGAGCATGATCAAATGTGTAGAGAAGAGCAAAGATGAGAGCATGATCAAATGTGTAGAGCAAAGATGAGAGCATGATCAAATGTGTAGAGCAAAGATGAGAGCATGATCAAATGTGTAGAGAAAAGATGAGAGCATGATCAAATGTGTAGAGAAGAGCAAAGATGAGAGTATGATCAAATGTGTCGAGAAGAGCAAAGTTGAGAGTATGATCAAATGTGTAGAGGCGAGTCTTACAAGTGCATCATGATACAAAGGACATTATAGGCTTTCACTATGTTTGAAATGCAACAATGATGTTTGACCAGCTCTAGTACACTAGTAATGAACAACTTTGGTTTTCTCTATCACTCAACACAAGATGATATGGAATATATCTTATATTTCTAATATTATAGTCATCCAGTTTCTTACTTATATTGGGTGAGGAGGCCTTTATCCAGAGGAGACAAGAGTAATACAGTGGTACCTTGGTGTACAACAGCCCTCCTCAATAGAGGTAAGTTATATATACTGTACTGTTCTGTGGTACAAAATGAGTGGTGTTCGGTATAAAATGTATTTTTAAGTTAATATTTTTTTGGGGGGGAGGGGGGTGAAATGGATTTATTCAATTTACATTATTTTTTATGGTAAAATTTGTTTTGGTTTACGAATTTTTGGTGTGCAATGCATCTCTGGGAATGGATTAGGATCATAAATGAAGGTATATTAGAAAATAAGATTTTCAACATACTGAAGATCCTCAAATTAACATTAATTCATTAACAGCAACATAGTAGAACACTGCCACCACTCAACACCATCACCAAGGCCACCAGATCATCTACAGTAGTACATTATCTTCAATGCTTCATAGATTGCCTTCAAAGTTCATACACTATCCAGCTACGCACACTACCATTGTGCAAAAAAACAGCGCTGAATGTAATAAAACACCAATTTCTGGGTGAAACCCAGAGGCTTCCCGGAGCTATTCAGGCTGATATGAATGAATTAGACCCCTGGCATCAGCCAAAGCGAATGGAGTTCTTAGGTCTACTGGGTACCACGAGCCAGAACCTGGCCCTCTCAGAGAGGCTTGAGGAGCCATGGTCTATAGAAACCCCAGTGAGGTTGGAAGCATTCTATGTCTGCCATCGACTGGGTCAGGCACCTAGAAAGGTAGGCCCTCCAAAACAAACCCTATCTGGTTTAAACATTGCTACTATAAGCCAAACTGTTGGACTAAACTCCCCCAAACGACAAACGAGCAAATGAGCATGACGTAACAACCATCACTGTGCCGCTGTCTGTGCAGCTCCCCCTCCTCGAGAGGAAGAAGGGGGAGCCACAGACCCCGCACCAGCTATCCACACCCACAGTTCTAAGGCTGGATGTCAAAACTCGCAAAAACTGCCGACTGGAGGGAAGAAGGGTTGCCAAGGAACCTCCGGGTCTCGCGCAGAAAATGGCATTTCATTACACTCAATGCTGGGTTTTCTGGGGGAAGCTCCTTCGGCTCCTCGGAACTACTTAAAGATAAAACAAGAGGGACTTACACGGGAGGCGTTCGCCACTTGCTCCTCAACTCGAAGTTGAGACAACTGGCTGCAACCGCCGATCCGATGACACACAAACCCGACTAGGGCCAGGAACATTGACTAAGTAGCGAGCAGCCAGAACATTGTTTGACCTCCAAAAACCAGGTGCCCGAATGCCCAAGACATGTTACCAAAGACAGCAGTCAACGCAGCAAACTTACGAATGTTATGGGCACGAGGACAGACTGCAGGCTAGCTGGACTAAATAATCCTGTGGACAACCTAGGAGACCCGAGCCTTGGAACATGGAAGAAAGGAAACCGGGTCAATCCAAAACGCATCCCCTGCCATCAAGGATGTGGCGCTCAGGGAATGGTGAAGGGCCGCAACTGGACAACACATGATGCACCCCCGGATGAACCAATCAAGCAACAACAACCCAAGGACCCCTCTGGAAAGCAGCAGATTCATTGTTTGCCAGAAAAGTAGGAGATGGCTGCAAATGAACAAACCCACCACTAGGACCGAAAGAGCAGAAACCCCAGCGCCGGAGGAGAGCATTAAACTCCCCAACCTGACCCACAGAAGTCAAAACATACAGGAAAAAGAGCCTTCGCAAAATAACCCTGAACCGAAGGGGCCACAACAAACTGAGGAGGAGAGATAAAATTGAGCACCCAGCCGAACGATCAGAACGGCTCAGCCGGCGCATGAACAGGCCGGAGGTGAAACAATGCATGAGACAGCTTGCGGAATGGAACAGAAGTAACATTCACCCCAAATGCAAGCTGAAGCAACTCCACCAGTGCCGCACGATACAAAGCGCCAGTATTCGGCATAAGATGACGGCCCTGAAGCAACCACAAAAGGAACGACAAGACAACCTGATCTGAAACAGAAGAAAACCTACTGAGGGACAAGAAATAACAGGAGGACTGCCAGAAAACTTCATACTGCCGCTGAGACAAAGCACGCAGGTGGGACACCGTCAATGAAGCCACCTGATCACCATACAATTGGCGATAGACGCACGTCAGAAAGACCAGACGCAAAGACTCGAGGAGAAGATCAAACCAGCTACATAACGGATTGGCCCGATCTACTGAAAGAGGTGGAGCCGCAGGAAGACTCCTGGGTTCGGACACAGAGCAAGAAGTGCCTGAAACCAAGGCTGGGCCGGCCACCAAGGGGCCAACAGGACTACTCTCTTTCCAAGTAAGCTAGGACTTGGAGCAATAGCAAAACGGGGGGGGGGGGGAAGGTACGGGTAACCCCACCATGATCAGTCATGCCTGAAGGCATCAACCCTGACAGCCTCGCAGTCGGGGAAGGGCGCCACATAATTCGGGAGACGCCTCGACCACAAGGTCAAAATTGTTGCCGGGCCTGCAACAACAAAACCCGTGAAGAGGGCACTAACACTCAACCTGGGTCAAAGAGGACCCATGGCCCCCACTTCGACTCCTCCCCAGCCCCGGGATCCCCCATGTCAGGACCCAGGGCAGAGCAGTCCTCCATACCCTCTACCCCTGAAGAACAGGCAGAGTCCAGGAGAAAGGTCGAAAAGAAGGGGGCATGCTGATGGGACCCAGAAGCCTCGGCAGGAGGAACCAGCTCGAATGCCTCCATCCCCAACCTAAATGACGTAGCCCCCAAAGCTGCCCGAGTCTCATTACCAACTAAACCCTGCCCGGATTTCGAAGCCCTCAGATGTTTGGGAGCCAGATGCAGGAAGGAGGGGGAGCAGGATGAACAACAGGGAAAGGACAAGGAAGTGTGGACTGAACCAAAGTCGAAGCAACTATCGCCCCCAGGTCCGGGTCCCTATAACCAAAGCCGAGCAGCCGTGGGGCATCCGGATGGGAAACCAACCTAGCGAGTTGCAGCAATCTGAACCTAACATGCAACGCGGATGCTGCCTGTACCCTAACAGCAATGTCATCAGAATAGTACTGGAGAACAATCAGAGAACACGACTTGCAAGTCTCCGGGTCAAAGGTGTCGTTGACCCATCAGGCAGCAAAACTGAGGCAAAGGAGAGGACTGTCACCCTGAGACAAGGGCACACAGCAACCTTCGAAGCCGCACAAGGCAGGCTGGAACTTGGAAGACACATCTATAGGTCCACCGAGCCCCGATAAGGTTTTCCAGGGCCCATAGGCTGACTGCTACGGGAAGCCCAGACAAGGTGTTGCTTGTTGGTTAAGACCCAAAGCTAACAAGGGGGATATCAAAACACAAACTCGTGTGATGTGTACAATCACGGAGACCTAGCAGAGGGCCACCAAAACAATGGAAGTGGAACACCAGGCAGACCCCCACCAAGCAAGAAAACAAAAAACAAAAGAAACACCCTGCAAACGTACAATGTCCCCAGAGGAAACAGGGAACTGGCCACCACATAGGTAGGCAGGATGCACAAAACCTTGACACCCCAACCAACATGATACCACCACCTACCCAAGGCCAAACAAGGACCACGAAACCCCAGCTGGCCCCATGGGCGGGGTAAATGCCGAGCAGCAAAAACCCCTTCGGAAGGGATGTTATGGAAGGGAACCATAACATGCAAGGGCAGTACTCACAGGACACATAGGGAAGAATACCCCTAAGCACATGCAGCCCCGGCACTGATGAGGACACCTGGTCACCACACACAACAACACTGCAGATGTTGCCACGAAGGCTAATGCACAGGATGCACAAAACCTTGACACCCCAACCAACATGATACCACCTCCTACCCAAGGCCAAACAAGGACCACGAAACCCCAGCTGGCCCCATGGGCGGGGTAAATGCCGAGCAGCAAAAACCCCTTCGGAAGGGATGTTATGGAAGGGAACCATAACATGCACGGGCAGTACTCACAGGGCACATAGGGAAGAATACCCCTAAGCACATGCAGCCCCGGCACTGATGAGGACACCTGGCCACCACACACAACAACACTGCAGAGGTCGCCACGAAGGCAAAACACCGCCTATGGAAACCGAGGCCAGAGAAGACGTCTGCCTCGGACCACATTAGCTAATGAACTGGAGTGCTGGATATCTGGCACAGGGAGGTTTGGGGCTCCCTCCTTCCCCTCTTGGGGAGGGGAGGGCTGTGCGGACGAGCGGCGCAGCAGTGGAGTGTGACGTTTGCTTGTTTCCTCGGGATTGGAGGGAGTTCTACCTCTCATTTCATTTTTGTTGTTGCACTTTTCCTACTATATGGGGGTTTGTTTTGTTATGCCTACCTTTCTGGGGTACCTAACCACGGTGAATGGCAGATATGGAAATCCCCCAACCAC